TTTTTTTTTGCTTTTTTTTTTTTTGTTTTTTTTTTTTTTTGTGGGATTTAGATATTCAAGGTGTTATATCTAAGATCAATCCAGAAGTTCTGAAAACTGTGATAGCAAATGGCTCCTTTAGTCTTAATAAATCGGTTTCTGTTCCTTGTACGCCAAAGGAAGATCCTACTGTCTTTCCTCCATTGCCACTTCATGATTTCAACCTTAGGTACCAATCTTTGGATAAATGAAAGAAAAAACAAATGCTTATTCGTTTGGTTATTTATCTCTTGCACACGGCTAAAGAATTTTTTATTGAATTTTTTAGGCAAAGTTGTGAGCCTAAAAGAAGCGCCGAAACTGCTCCCATGACTATTTTCTACAATGGGATGGTCGCTGTTGTTGATGTTTCTCCACATAAGGTTTGTATTTTAACAATATCATTGATAAAAAAAAAAATTGAAGTTTATAAAATTTTGAAGCACGCTTTTTCTTGTAATATATGGCACAGGCTCAGGACATTCTCCTACTTGCTGAGGAAGGAATCCAAAAACCTGCTGAATCCTCGGATTCTAAAGTAACGGGCACTTCATCTGACCAAAGGAATATATTGGGAACGCTGAATGGAGGTGCGTAACAATTTTTATTTAAACCTTGTAGCATTTTTGTTTTACTGTAGTTGAACAAGATTTTAGCTTCTTCAAAATGATATATTTTTTTAATTATTATTTTCAGACTTTCCTATAGCAAGGAGGAAGTCTTTGCAGAGGTTTCTAGTGAAGAGAAAAGAGAGGTAGGTATTAATTTCTTTAATTTCCAGCTCATTTTCTATATTCCCCTTTCCTTTCTTTGCCAGAGTTAATTGAAACTTAAGACTCCAAATATTTTTGAAAATAATTAGGAGTTTAAAAATGATTCAGATTATTGAAAAAAAAAGTAATTTGTTAGTGAAATTTGAAATAATCTTGTAAACTTGCACAATCAAATTGGCCTTTAAATGATTTTGGTGTGTAGTTCAATTTTAAATGTTCAGACTAATAACTCTTTTGAACCCGTTGTCGCAATTAATACCACCTTCAAGAGTTCACCACTCTTATTTCCTTAATTCTCTTTTAATGTTTATTTTTGGAGAAAATAAGAAATATTTTAATAATTTTAGATTTTATGGTATAATGTTAACAGTTAATATTTGGCTTCAGAGATTAATTAAAAAGGTGCCTATATATTAGGAAAATACTGTTCTTGATCCTTTTAAGTTAGTTCAAGCAAAAAATATAAACAATTTAACAAGTTCGTGACAAATCTTTATGCAGTGTCGGGGAAATTATAATTCATATGAATTTTCTCGCAGGTCAAAGGTGTTGGAACCATACGGATGTTCAAACAAGCGCTAAATTACAAGAAAAAGAATAAACGTACGGTTGTTTGGAAATGGTGATGACCTCTCTTTCCTTGCAATTTCTAAGTGTCTGGTCTTCCCACATTTTATTCATGTGTATAAGAATAGGAATATTCGTATTACTTTTCAAAGTTGTAACCATATTATATTATTATACGTTAATTTTTAATATATGGTAGGTATTGTTCATGATTTTGGTAAGAGTTGGCTGAAAGAATTGTCGATGGTGGGGTACATAAGCACCTAAATTTTGACCAAATTAGTGGAAACGTGAATGTTTGAGACTTCGAGACATTGGAGTCAACTTTTGCTAGTCTTCTTTCCTATGCCTTTGCCTAAAATTCAATTCAGTTAGTTAGAATTGTTCTAGCAAATCTCTTAACGTGATTTAATTTAAGATTCTGCAATTTCCACGTTACACCACAACAAATAGGGATAGAAATTCAACTTTGATAACTAAGTCAAATTTTTATTATTTGAAAAGTTTTAATATTAACTAATTTCAAGAAAATGTTCAATAGATATGAGTAGGTGAACTAATTTTTAATAACTTAGTTTGCTGACAGGATAATGCTATTTGTACACTCTTTTTATAAATTATTGTTGACATTACAAGTATTGTCAATGGCTGATTGAGAAAAAAAATTGTCTAATAGTGCATTGCTACATGACAAAGTCTAAAAGATGGTGTACACCAAGCATGATTGTTCTATATAATAAGTTAGTATATTCCTTAGTACGTCATACTCTAGTTCTGTGAGGCTTTGCTATAGGTTGGTTCAAACAGTCTCTTGCTAAGCTGAAAAATTCTTTTATATGTACGACTTATGTATGCAATTTGATGAAGCTTTTACGTCAAATGTGTAAGTGTTATATCCAAGGTTTAATCGATTTTATCCATAAACACTTTAATTTGATTATTGTATTTTAATTATGGCAAATCTATTATTGAATTGAATTATTTTATGACAGTTAAATTAAAAGAATCTCCGTAGACTCAAGTCATACTTGTTAATCACAAGGCATTGTAATTGTGAGATACAATTTACATATGATTGAATCTTAAATTATCTTTGGAGATAAGCAATAATGAGATGAATATTGTTATTACGAGTATTATTCATAAATTAAAAGAGTTTCGACAATAATTGAGTTAAGAGCAGGACAAATCAATTAAACCGAGATTGACTCATGATGCATCATATCTCGTAATTCATTGGGTTATATAGACAAAAAGATTATAGTTCAACGAAAATCGAACAATTTTGATTTTGTCACACCATACAATATTTCTCGTCATATGTATTGCCCTAACACATTGCTGGATTTAATCATGTACGATGAATGTGAACTAATTAATCTATATGAATTAATAAAAAAATTAAAATAATAGTTTAAATTTATCTTATTTTGATAAATGACGAGTGTGGGATATTTGTGGAATTAATTAATATAATTGTTTATTTATTAATTAACTTGTGGGCCTACTTATGCTTAATGGATGAGTCAAATCCAATTAAACACTTATAAATAAACAATTGCAGTTTGAGAATTAACTACTACAATAATACTTGATTCATTCCTAATCTTGCTAGTACGAGAAAAAAAATCATAATATCTCATTCTTACTCTACCGTATGGATTAATCATTGGAGCTAGACGGTTGGACAATTGTCGTGTTAAGATCGTGTTAAATTAAGATTTACAAAGAAAGGGAGAGATTGTGTTCAAGTTTCACAAATGAATTTGAAGAATTTGCAAATGTAATGTTCTTATCACGGATTCACGGTTTCTATTGAAGCATAAATATGATCCTTGAAGGGAATCGAAAATTAATTTTAAACTCCATTGTGCATATATAATTAGATTTTCAATAGTGGTATAAGAGCCTGCTTTGTTTTGTTAGAAATTATATTTAAATCTTAGCTACTATCAATGGTTGATCGAGAGTGATCGATAGTAATAACTAGCATCAGTGAAGGCAACATATGTGCGCAACTGTGAGAGCAACGATCTGTGCCACTAAGACAGTGGCGCTCGTTGCTATTGTTATTAGCAGCGGTGGACGTTGTTACTTATACCAATAGTAATGTAAGCTTGCTACAATATGTGGCACACCTAGCAGTCGTCGTTATAGAGTCATCAACAATTTTTAGAGTTTTGGCTTGATTTGGGATTGCGGCATCTAATGTAATTTGTGAAATTAAAAGCTCCTATTTGCAATTTCAAAATGGGGTCAAGTTGCAATTTTAAGTAGGAAGGACTTGTGCCTCAATTTAAGAAATTAAAGGGTCCTATTTATAATTTAAATCAAGGGGTCAGAATACAATTTTTAAAAAGGTTTTGATTGCAGGTTTGAACATGTAATTTTTCAAAAGGGTTTTGATTTAATTTCAATTTTGATAAAAAAAAAATTTATTTTGACCCATTTAAAATTTATTAAAAGTTTACGACTTTTGAAATTGTTGCTAAAATTTGATTTTAACCAAAATTTAAAACTTTAACCCAAAATTGAATATTATTTTAGTTTAGGAAATTTTATCCTAAAATAATCAATTTGTCCTAAAATTTTAGAATTGAAGTTAAACTCTAATTTGGTATTTAATTAAAATTTGATTTTAATTAAATAAATCTGTTAACTAAATTAGTTATTTAATAATTTAATTGTTTGAATCCATCTTATCTATATTAGTTTAGAGTATCTTATGGATAGAAATTTGAATTAAATTAACACATACAATATTAGAAATTATATACTGCTGCATTTATGTGATAAATATATACTTAGTGGATGATTATAAACTCAATCATGTGGACTTGTTGAATTATTTGTTTGTTTTTAGTTGTTTTTGGACATGCAAGTTCGTTATTACTATTTCATGGGCATGCGAGCTCAAATCTTTTAAGCATGCATGCCATTAATATAAGATACCTCTTGTAGTTGTATTAATTGAAGATGTAATAAGAAGATGATTATAGAGATGGAGCATTGTTCAATTCAATACTATATCCCCTAGAATCTGACCATATTTGCGTGCCAGAAGTTTTTCGTTGCTACTCTCCCTTTTTTGATGACTATATTTGCCTGCAAGAAGATGTGGAAGGTGATAGCGAAAGGAATTTATTTTTATTTTTTAAATTATTTATTTGGGACTCATTTGCATTTTTTAAAAAAAATTTAGGACTATAATTGCAATTAACTGAAAGGATGTGAGGCATTTTGCAATAGAAGCAAAGGTTAGAGAGGGATTGTGCCAATTACTATTTTAATATTATTTATTTTTGCTCTTTTAAGTGGATTTAAAGATAACAGTAACGGGGATGGACGACAGAAGGGTCTTCCGCACCTCAAAGGTTATATAGAAGGTTTTTCGTCAATCTGAAATGATAGTGGTATTATTCAATAAACACAAAGGTTAAGAGGGATTATCTTTTTTTAAAAAAAAAAAAAAGAGGTGTCTAAAGGAGAGAAAAAGAGAAAAAAAAATATAAGGGGGGTGGAATGCTATGTTAGACAAAAATCGATCCAGAGCAATTATGCGGAAATGAATTGGATTGAAAAATCGAAATACCATAGGGATCGATTCATACCTCTGGCCATTGATGATATTGCAGAAGCTCTTGTTTCTATAGGTAATGGAACTTTCAAACTCTTAACACTCTCAGTAGATCGTGTATATTGCATTTTTAGTGGTAGAGCTTGATGACCAAAACATCTATATATATAGTCAAAACTCCCATCTAATTATGGCTTAGATTACCAACCAATTGATGGTAAAACTGAAACTCACTAAATGTTGAAACTGAACCCATGAATGTGGACCATCAATTGCCCGTTGAAGAAATGAGAATAGCGGACAGTTACATGCTATTGAAAGTTCTTCCAAGATTTTGATATCAACTTATATGTAAAGATTTAAAAAACAAAATTCAGTAACCATCTAAAATTTATCATTTATTTAGATTTAATTTTCAAATAAGATAATTCTGTGATTATATCTAAAAACCAGCAGATATATGCTGTCGCATGCAATCCACAAAGATTACTTAATTCTCTTTGACCAACTTAATTTCTCTTCTTTGGGCCCATCAACTACACATTGCCATAGGATTCTCATGTTTATGCACTCGTGATCCAGAATTGCATAAACCAGAGGAAAATCCTTAGTTGCTAAATTCTAAAGATAGGAGCTGTTTAGATCTACGTGCGCACAATATTTAACAGAATTTTCATGATGAAAAGTTCTTGTGATGCTATCAATTTGTTCGAAGAAATGCCTGAAAGTAACATGTTATCGTCGATTATAATTCACGGATTGGATACGCATGGAGGCGGTTAAATCATTTGTTAAGTTATAAAGTCACGAGCTATATTCATTTTTGTTCACCACAATTTTTCAAAGTAGTTTGCTAGAGCGGGCAATGTTTTGGATGCATTTGTGCTTGGACATGAATAGAGCTTGACTTTACTCATCTCTCTTTTAGAGGGGCAAGTTGATTAATTCTTGTTGGATCTTTGTTGGTTTTAATACTTGCGCTCTTTACTATTTGTTGTTACTTCAAAAGCCCTCAATTGTTTAAATGCTGGATTAGAAGATACGTTGTTGGATATTGTTCAAATTAACAATGATGAGTGATTTTGAAAGTGATTGAAGTGGTTAACCATGAGAAAAAAAACAAGCGAAAACAAAACGAGAACAAAAAATAGTGAAGGCCAAAAAATGGCCTAAGCGGCCACCCAGCCTTGTGTTGCAACTATAGTGGCCATTTTATTGAACTAGGCGGCTGTCAACTACGAAAATTTGCCCATTGGGGTTTTGAATTCTAGTATCGTTTTGAAGGGCTTCACACCCTTTTAGCTTGGTTTTTGCACTATTTCGTGCATGGTGATTGTAATTATATATATGAGTGGTTTCTATGATTGAACATATATCACAAAAATCAAATTGATTCCCTTGCATCCAAAATCTAAGATCAAATCAAGTTTTTAAAATT